TCACTAGAAAACTTATTATTATTATTTTTTGATAAATTACACAGGCCATACGGAATGTTCTTATAGAAGCCACACAACTTTGGACCGAAATGAGGATTGCACAAACATTCTTCATCTTTAAGCGGCTATTGAAAAATAAATGAAGTCACCCAAAATTTGAACTGTTAAATTAAAAATCTAACACCTGTGTTGGTTTCACCTTAAAGAGTAAGCGGTAAAAAATAAGAGTAAATATGAATAAAATAATAAATTTTATAAAAAATGAAATAGTGCAATTGGTATTAACCTTAAAGAACAAAGAAAATGAAAAAATGAAAACAAATAATGAAAAAATTTGCACACAATTTACACAGAAATTGCGTATTCTAAAATATGCAAGAATATGCGTATAATAAAGGAATTTTCACAAAAAAAAGTTTCCTAGGAAGAAATAATTTTTTTTGAGATAAATGCCCTTGGGTGCACTTTATTAAAATCAACCGATGGTTACATCAAAAATAATGTTTGGGACAATAAATTATTAGCATGGTATTACCCTTAACAAAGAAACAAAACAAAATAAAACCGAAACAAATTCAAAATAATAAAGTTTTCTATGAAAGAATGAATTACTGTCTTTTGTATTACCCTTTAATAAGAAAGAATATGAAATAGATACTAAAATGAACTCAAAGTAGTGAAATTTTCAAAGAAAGAATGAATTTGTGACATTGGTATTATGATTTAAGAAATAAAAAAACAAAAAAACAAATCTAAATCAGACAATTACAAAATTTACACACAAAAAATACGCATTATAAAAATACAAAATAATAAGCATATGAAAGTGCTTTTTTGCAAAAAAATATAGTTTCCTATGTACGGTTGAATTAATGACATTCGTATTACCTTTAAAGAAGAAAGAAAGTGAAATAAATACTAAAACAAAACCAAAATAATGAAATTTTCGAAGGAAGAATGAATTGGTGGGCGTTGATATTACCATTTAAGAAGAATGAAAATGAGGAAAAAAAAATCTAAATCAAACAATGACAAATTTTGCAGATGATATACATAAAAGTTGTGATTTGAAAATATATGCAAGAATGAACATATAAAAGTGGATTTTTATACAAAAAGAAGTTTCATTAGTACGCATGAATTAGTGGTACTGGTACTACCGTTAAGGGAATTGAAGTATTCTAATAAAGAATGAATTAGTTGGTATTAACCTTTGTGAAGAAACAAAATGACAAAAAGAAATTGCATACGGGTTTGCATTGAAATTGCACTTTTTCTAATATGAAACAATAGTCATATAATAATTTGATTTTGACACATATTGTATAGTTTTTATGTGTATACATTTACACTCATCAAACACCCTAAAATAGCCGCAAAAGGAAAAAAAAACTGAAAACCAACTAATGAAGGAAAACTGAAAACAAAAGCAAAAACGCACATGTAAATAAAAGAGCGAAAGGGGAAGGCTGGGTCGCACATGTAATGGGTTCAGCCCACTAAGGAATCGACTGACCCAAAATATATGGCCCAGAAAAAAATATGAGCACGAATTTGAAGTAGAATTCAACAGTCGAAAAATTGACTGACCCAAAAGTAATTTTCAGGCGACTTGCGTATAGCGAAAGTGATCAACTTAATTACAACAAAATTTTACTTATTCAGTGCACAAGTGGCAGAAAGCAGTAGCACAGAACTTAAATAAAACATTCAGTGTCACAAGGCAAGGGAGTAAATGGAGGCATCAATAACATACACCTCGAAATTTGCACGTCGGGGAGGCACAGGGTGCGCTAGTAAAATTTGCAGCTAGAGTTGCCACCATTAAAATTTGCGGGCAGGGTGACCTGTGTGATGGCCGGGCACCTCGTGACGCTCAGGTTGAGTGGACCTGTGCAGCGCCCAAGGGCTGACAAGGAGGACAGCCGTGGGCAGTCCGCGATGATTACGTCCCTGAGCAGTGGGAACGCCATTTTCGGCATATCATCCCACGCCACTAGCTCCTCCATGTCGTCCAGCACGATCTTGTTCAGCATTGGGAACTCGCCGCCGCCGCAGAAGCCACTGTCGATCCTCACGACGGTGGTGAGCTCCTTGATAACCAGAAGCTCCAGACAGGGGAGCCGGCCCACGGCCGGAAGATCCTTGAGCTTCCTACAGTTCTTGAGGTACAGGCGCGTAAGCTTCTGCATCTTCTCCGGTTCACTCAGCCAGGTAGGCGACTTCTCCCCAGGGTACCTGGTGATATGTAGGTGATGGAGATGGCTGTGAGGCTTGAGGCCTTCCAGGACGGCCACCGCGGGGTTGCATCCAGCGGCAGGTTCTTCTTCAAGTTGTCGCAAACTCGGAGCCCCCCACTCAAGCTTTAGAACCTTTACAGAAGATTTGTTTCCTAGTAGAGCCTGCTCGGCTTCTTCCTTGCTCCCGACACCGTCGAGGCCTATTATTCTCAGCGTCCCTCGTAGGGAGTTCATGTTGGCCAGCTCCAACACGCTATGCCCTTCTTTCTCCAAACCCCTCTTGACCTCGAACACGATCGATTCTCGAAGTTTAACCAACATTCCTATTCCGCTTATGTTGGTGATACACTGTCTTTTTCTGTCTCTGTTCTTCTCTTCGTCGCCCTGGCCCACACTCAGTGTCTGGAGAAACAGTAGCCTGGTGACTTGGTCACCGAGATTGTTGCTGATGGTGATAGGAAGACCAAGGTACCTCACATGTTTCAGCTTGCCAATACTTGCTGGAAGTTCAGGTATTGCTGTCCCCGTGAGATCCAGTACTCTCACACCTTTGAATTGTTGGAGCATATCTTTGTCAGTGTCACTGATCAAGTCATTACCATCATTTAGGACTAGCAAGGTCCGCAGATTGCTGAGTCCTATGGAGTACTCCTCGAGCTTATCAAGACGGCTGCTGGTAACCGACAAGTGGCGAACCGTTGTAGGGATGCTTGTCCTGGCTGCGCCTGTGCTATGGCTAGTACTGTCGCCAGAGATGCTCATGCAGTTGTTGGCAGAGGCCACGCGTATCATCCAATGGATCTGCTCGTGGATCACATAAGTCGGTTCTTTGCGTCCTGGCTCACATACTTCTCTGAACAATGACCGATCCACAAGGCTGTCGAAGTAGGCCCTGGCGACATCTTCCATGCTCGGACCCTGCCGAGGGTCCTCCACGAAACCATGTGCTATCCACATGTTCATCAATTTCTTAGGCTCGAAACTCCAACCGTATGGGAATATGCTGCAGAACTCGAAGCAGCGCTGCAGGTGCGGCGGCAGATGGCGATACGTGAACAGATGGCCCTCCAATACGCTGCCCAGATGATGTTCAATGTTGTGTAAGATGTCGCACCTCTTGTCACTTGTGGTTTGTTTCCTGAGCGCCTCACCGATCTCTACGGCTGCCAACGGCGATCCCTTCAGCTTGGGCACTTGATTGTTTAGCAGCTTCTGTATCCTGGTACTACCACTAGTACCATCAATCACAGCGTGGTTGAGCAGATCTGTGACCTCTTTGGGTTTGATCCCATCTAGAGTGATGCTTGCATCAGCTTTGAACGTGTCCGAACAGATCTTGGCCCGAGTCGTCATCACGATTCTGCTTCCATTTTCGGCGAAGCGCTTAAAGGAGTCCAACGCTAAAGATGCCTGCTTCCTCTTCTGCTCGCTGGTCGCCGATTCATGGTTCCATACGTCGTCCAGTACCAGAAGGCACCTCTTGGACGCCAAGAGCTTCTCGAGTTCCCTCTGGAGGCATGCGACGTTCATCTCGCCGACCGGTTTTTCACCGGCACCAGACTTCCAGATCTCTTTCAGGAGGTCTAATTCGGTGTTTTTGCCATATGCGTGCACCCATATGCCAAGATCAAATTTGTGTTTAGCTGCCCGAAACACCTGGCGAGCAAGCTCGGTCTTCCCCATCCCGGCATGGCCGACGATGGCAATTACCTGCTTCACCTTGCTGTCCACTTTGTTACCATCCGGCTGCTTCTGCAACATGGAGACCAGGTGAGCATACTCCTCCTGGTACCCGAAGAAGCTCTCCTGGTCCCTCACCGGGATCGGGCCCGTTTCTTCTCTTGTCAAGAAGGGGGGGCTCTGCACTTGATGGAGTTCCCTCGTCCTCTCACGAGTCTTCTCTAGACTGTCGAGCACTTTCTTGAGCTGAATCGCTAGCCAACCTTTGTTGGATTGCGTGCCGTGCCGCTTCTTCTTCTTCTTTGTCTTTTTTTTCCTCTTCTTGATCACGGCTGCTGCCTTGATCTCCAGCTCGAACAGGTCGAGAACCTCCTCGGCGTCGTGGATGTCATCCTTGAGCCGCCACAGGAGGTCGAGCTTGACTTGGTCGTCGATAAAGGCCGTGCTGGATGGGTTGAGGGAGCATCTGATGCCCTCCAGATCCTGCGCAAGTTTCCGCAGCAAATCCTTGTTGCCCTGAGAGAGTTTGTAGTTGGTGACTTTGCCGTCTGCCCAGTCCCGTGCGACCTCCATGAGCTTGGTGATATGAGGCGATAGGAAGAACCCCATCACTGTAACTCCAATAGCTACTTCTGCCACTACCACCATGGCCGGGCACGGCTGCAGCTAGCTGTCACCGCACCTGCCAATCATCGTGTAACTATAAATTAATGATGGGAAACGACGAGATCTAAGAGCAATGGAGGATGAACTGCCTGTATGTAGCTGACAGGAGGATGAAAGGAATGAGTGAAGAATGATACTACTCCCTCATTTCGTAAATATAAGTCTTTCTAGAGATTTCAATATGTAGGATGAACTGCCTGTATGTAGCTAACAGGAGGGAGTACAAGTTAATTTAACGCAAATTGTACGACCTTAGTAGCAGTACCTGTGAATTCGCAAGACCCGAAGTAATGTTAGCAATGGATGATGATCTGGCATATACTCAAAGACCTATCCCCCGACGACCGATGGAAAGATGTTCGTCTCTTCGGGCTCATACGACCGAGATCTGCTCATCCTACCGAATGAAGCGGGGTGGGGCAGGGGACGAGGGAGACGGAGACGGGACAAAGAGGATACAAAGAGGGTGTGAGTACTGAGAATCGGATGGAAGGAGGAAGGTGATCATGCATGCATGAAGACTAGTCAAAGTCGTCCAAGTCAACCGCGCGTTAGACAGATCATTAGGTTATTTTATATTATATATGTAGAGAGACAATGAAGTGGTGACTAGAGACAAAAAAAAGACTAGAGACGTGCCAGCGGTTGGTGGTCCATAAGAGACAAAGATGAAGGTGCAGGCTGGCCGATCGATGCCACTGGCTGTGTCTAAAAATAAATGACTCAAGTTTATATTAACTTTGTATCCCTATTATTATAGTACATCAATTTTCAAAATTGGATTGTCCACCCACAGCAATGCAGAAACGTTTGTTAGCCATTGATTTCTTCCACGGGCTGAATCTCTGCCATTTATCAATGTTGAGCCTAACTTATCCAACGGTCATGGTTTGTGGGATTCGCTTCCCCACGGCGCGCGCCAAAACAAGGTCGGGGATCTTTCTAGAGTTAACCACACCTGACATCTGAGTGGACACTTGCTTGAGAGCTTCACGTGAGGAGATAGCTTTATACTGTGAACTGGCAAGGTGTACCCAGTATAGACTGGAAGCATCTAAACAAGGGTAGCGGCATATATTACTACAGTAGCAATATGCTCTTCACATTACTGTTGAATGCATGCATGTATACTGGCCAAACCTCGGGCCGGGCCTAGCCAAGCCCGACACAAAAAACTCAGGCCTGGGCCCGGCCCGGCCCGGCCATCGGCCCTGTGTTTCTGGGCCCGAGCCCGGCCCGAGCACGTAAAAGCCCGTCGGGCTTCGGGCTGGCCCGGCCCGACCTTCAGAAAATGGCAAAAACGACGGGCCCGGGCCTGGTCTGGCCTGGCCTTCGGGCTCAAAAACTAGGCCCGAGCCCGGCCCGGGGGCAGCGTCGGGCCGGGACAGGTCGGGCTTTTCCGGGCCGGGTTGGGCCGGGCTTCCCATGGCCAGGACTACATGCATGGAAGCATTCTTATTTTCCTCAAAAGAATTAGTGCACTGTAAAAAGTGTATGCATGGCAATATTGTTGTTCGTTGAGAGAAATATTCAAACAACCAGTAGAAAATTTACCTACAAAAAGATAGTAGAACAGAACATTAAGATTTAGATTTTACTTTATTTGTCTTAACGGGCGATAAGTTATTTAAAACATTGCGCGGTCCAGAACACACAAATCACGTAGAGTTTTTAAGAAAACAGTGACTTAAAGGTTTGGGGAGGTGGAAACTATAATATCAAACTAATTTTATCAACATTTCAAGTTTGATTTTTAAAAACTAGAAGATTTCCTAAACACGTCAATAACAATTCGTTTGGAATAGAAGTATATGATTTTTCTAATGCATTCTTCATATAGGAATTCATTGTGCTCCCATGGTTTGATACGAATAGTAGAAAAATTTCCACAAGTTCCCACTAGAGATGTTTCGCAAAAAGAAAATAAAAAAGTTCCCACTAGAAAGTCAAATGTATTTTTGAAAATTACATAATAATTTTATTATAACATAGGATATTTACTTTTAATTTAAATGATTTAGTACTGTAATCACACTCACACATCAAAATCTAACGTGCAAAGCACGTACAAATTACTAGTTAAAATTAGTATAAACTTAAGTCACTTATTTTGGGACGAAGGGAGTATCAACTAATAGTCGATCTATTTATGGAATTGTTGTTTCACATCTAGATGCAATATATTACCTCACATCTAAGTCTCTCACCATTGAATTGTTTTGTATTTACAATTCGTCCAAACTATTGATCTGCTCCATACCGTTGTGTCCTTTCATTTTTTTGCTTGCCTGCGTCGGCCTTGTAGGCCTGTGTTTTCACGTGGCTGTCTCGGAGCATCTCTAGCAGACCCTGTATAATGACGACTCGTAAAATGCGTTTACAGTTCACATAAAAACGGATTTGCGGGCCGACGTGGGCTGCGGCCGAGCAGACCCCGGGTAGTCGACCCGTAAAAGAGCATATGAGTCGGCTACGTGGGGTCTGCTCGGCCGCAGCCCGCATCGGCCCGCAAATCCGTACACCCCCAAAGTGAATTTAACAGCAATTCTGACAATTCAGTTCAAATTTGAAGATTAAAACTTAGTCCGGGCGCAAATAAAAGCATAATTCATATGACAAACGCAAAAGGACTTCATGCAAAAGCGACGACCACGTCCATCATCATCTTGGTCGCTTTTCACCCGTCGTCATGATCTTCACTCCGCATCACCTCCATCGATGCCATCGCTGCCCCCGAATCCATCGCCGGCACTTGTTCCAACTCCGGCATCGAAAGCATCGTCGGGTGCACTGAATGCATCAGCAACACTAGTCCCAAATCCTGATGAGAAAACATCATCGGCACCGTAACACGCACCGGCAGTAGCTAGCATCCTCCACTTCAAGATGTCTCTCCTTTCCATATCATGTCATTCTTTGGTGATGTCGTCCATGTCATCATGGTTTAATGTCATGATCCTGTTTTTTCGGCAAGAAGCTTGGACATGGCTTTGTTTTCAGTGGCACGTGCTCTTCTCCCCTCAATGGCCACCTTGCGCAACCCCTCGTCCTTGAGCAATTGCCACTTCTATTGCTTCTCTCATGCCTTCTTCTCGGCCAACTCTTTCTTTGTCTCCAATGTCTTTGCTAACATCAACTCATTTGATTGCACCATGGCATCTGTGTTGTCCCGCAAGCCCGATGCTTCATGTTCCCTCTTGATCTTCTCCTTTGTCTTCTTGTCACCATCGGGCTTGTTCAAGTTTCATGGGCCATCATCATCTTCATCTTCAATCATGTTCTTAAGTGAACCTCTTTTCGGTGGGGATTCTCTATCAATCAACTTCCACTTGTCACACCATTTGAGCAAGTCCCAACAATGCTCTGGTTTAATTCTTTTGCCTTTGGAAGCATCCATGTCTTTGTATCTTTGTTGGGGAATTTTCTCCTACACAATTAGAACAATGTCAAATGATGCAATCACTTCAAATGGTACAAATGATTTGCACAACATGGGCCGTGAAAACGAACTCACATAGTCAGATTCCACGATTCCACTTGGAGGTGCATGCTACCTCTTGAGCTTGCATTGGTTTTCCATTGAAGAGGAAAGGGTAATGCAGCAAAGTAGCGCCTGTATTTTCCTCAGTTTTGAGAACCAAGGTATCAATCCAGTAGGAGACAACGCACAAGTCACCGAATACCTGCACAAACAATCAACAACTTGCACCCAACGTGATAAAGGGGTTGTCAATCCCTTCACGGTCACTTGCAAAAGTGAGATATGATAGAGATAGATAAACGGTAAAGAAAATATTTTTGGTATTTTTGGTTTATAGATCGGAAAGTAAAAGATTGCAAAATAGTAGATCGGAAACTAGTAAGATGTAAACGAGATTAAATAATATGGAAAAGAGATTCAATATAATGGAAAAGAGACCCGGGAACCATAGGTTTCACTAGTGGCTTCTCCCAAGATAGCAAATATTATGGTGGGTGAACAAATTACTGCCGAGCAATTGATAGAAAAGCACATAGTTATGATGATATCTAAGGCAATGATCATGAACATAGGCATCACCGCCGTGCTCTAAAAAGATATAAGTGAAGCACTAGAGCAATATTGCCTAGCTCAAAAAAATATAATCGAAGCACATAGAGTATTCTAATAAATCACGATTCATGAATGTCTCTCCCAAAAGGTGTGTACGACAAGGATGACTATGGTAAACTAAAAAGCAAAGACTCAAATCATACAAGACGCTCCAAGCAAAACACACATCATGTGGTGAATAAAAATATAGCCTCAAGTAAAGTTACCGACAGAAGAAGACGGAAGAGGGGATGCCTTCCGGGGCATCCCCAAGCTTAGCCTTTTGGTTGTCCTTGAATATTACCTTTGTGTGACTTGGGAATCCCCAAGCTTAGGCTCTTGCCACTCCTTATTCCATAGTCCATCAAATCCTTACCCAAAACTTGAAAACTTCACAACACAAAACTCGACAGAAAATCTCATGAGCTCCGTTAGTATAAGAAAATAAATCACCAATTCAAGGTACTGTTGCAAACTCATTCTTTATTTACATTGGTGTAATATCTACTGTATTCCAACTTCTCCATGGTTCATACCCCCCGATACTACTCATAGATTCATCAAAATAGGCAAACAAGACGCGAAAAACAGAATCTGTCAAAAACAGAAAAGTCTGTAGTAATCTGTAACTCTCAATTACTTATGTAACTCCAAAAATTCTGAAATAAATTGGTAGACATGAGGAATTTGTCTATTAATCTTCTGCAAAAATAATCAACTCAAAAGCACTCTTCTGTTAAAAGTTACAAATAAACTCGTGAGCGCAAAAGTTTCTGTTTTTTCAGCAAGATCAAATCAACTTTTACCCAAGTCTTCCCGAAGGTTCCACTTGGCACAAACACTATTAAAAAATAAAACCACATCTAACCATAGGCTAGATGAATTATTTACTACTAAACAGGAACAAAAA